TTTTTTTTGAGTATATTCTTTCTTTTTGACTACAATTGTTTGTCTATTTTCGGAACAAATAGAAAACATCTTGTCTCACAGAGGATGCAATAGTCCATCTACTTAAAAGTACATTGACAACTGAAAAATGTCGATGAGGGGGAGGAGCTGGGGAGGAGGATTTTAAGCCTGATAATCTAGTCATCTGTCACACATTGTTTCTCCGATCCTATGCAGGTCTTGTGCGTGCGTCACAAGCCGTAGCCATAACAGAGGAAATACACTTAAGAGGTGCTTTTCGAGTGCTCGGTTTTGTGCACGCATGCGTACAGCTTGCACGAGATTTCAGAGGAAGCTCTAATGATCTGCTCGGTGCTGAACACTAAATTAGCAACGCTCGATCATGTCTGTTTCTTAGACGCAATGTTCATGACAGCAATTTTCATCAGCGTTCGTCCATACACATCTCCTTGGAGTCGACGGTCAGGAATTAAGTAATAATCTTCATCCCTTACAATACGCCTTTTTTTTAATTCCAATCGATTGATATGTCTTCAGTTTACACACATGATTTGTCCTCGGATGCGTTCAGGATTGTTTCCGTACACTGTCCGTTGCTAAAAACGTTTCTTCTGACCTTGTCAGACCTAACTATAGACCTACAAGTTACTAACTTGGTTTGCGGACTTTGTTGGTATAAAATAGTGGGCCTTTCAGATATTTTGCTCCTGTTTTTTTGTGGAGATCGTCGTTCTTGATTATTTTCTTAGTAGCGACATATCAAGTGATGCCTTCATCACATACTTATCTCTCAATAAGATAATCCTATGCTCTCCTCTCGTTTTTGTGCTTTCTCTACTGTCATTTTGCCGCTTTGTGGATTTGGGTTCGTCGGTTGATGTTCCAAAGATTCGACAATTTTTTGCGCGCTCTGAGCTGCGTTTGTTCATGTATATATATTTTCTTTATAACGTTATCCAGCGTATAATTAATATAATCTAATATCCTGAAAAGCGCTATATTCCAGTCGTAATACTCCCGTATTCAGTTGTAAATACTAAGGGACTTTAAGATATGGTANACAAGCCGTAGCCATAACAGAGGAAATACACTTAAGAGGTGCTTTTCGAGTGCTCGGTTTTGTGCACGCATGCGTACAGCTTGCACGAGATTCCAGAGGCAGACGCAATGTTCATGACAGCAATTTTCATCAGGGTTCGTCCATACACATCTCCTTGGAGTCGACGGTCAGGAATTAAGTAATGATCTTCATCCTTTACAATACGCCTTTTTAATTCCAATCGATTGATATGTCTTCAGTTTACACACATGATTTGTCCTCGGGTGCGTTCAGGATTGTTTCCGTACACTGTCCGTTGCCAAAAACGTTTCTTCTGACCTTGTCAGACCTAACTATAGACCTACAAGTTACTAACTTGGTTTGCGGACTTTGTTGGTATAAAATAGTGGGCCTTTCAGATATTTTGCTCCTGTTTTTTTGTGGAGATCGTCGTTCTTGATTATTTTCTTAGTAGCGACATATCAAGTGATGCCTTCATCACATACTTATCTCTCAATAAGATAATCCTATGCTCTCCTCTCGTTTTTGTGCTTTCTCTACTGTCATTTTGCCGCTTTGTGGATTTGGGTTCGTCGGTTGATGTTCCAAAGATTCGACAATTTTTTGCGCGCTCTGAGCTGCGTTTGTTCATGTATATATATTTTCTTTATAACGTTATCCAGCGTATAATTAATATAATCTAATATCCTGAAAAGCGCTATATTCCAGTCGTAATACTCCCGTATTCAGTTGTAAATACTAAGGGACTTTAAGATATGGTA